TGACATGCTCTTTCATCAGAAAAGTTCAGATCTGTCTAACAAAAACACAGATGAGATGCTGGGTGCTTTTCATATCTCAAAGAAGTCAGATATAAAGATTAATATTTAGTAGATATAGTCTGTCATCAGTTCAGGGTCTCATTATTAGGACTTGAGTGGAACGTTAATGCAAAAACAAAAATTATCAACATAATCAAGTCCACAGCATTGTGAATTAGCATCCATTTCCTTGGGCCCAAATACATTAGTTATCCTACTGCCTTCCCCTTTTGCGTGTTTGTCTTTACTGATTGCAAGTGTAAAGGTTAATGTGCAACCAAATTTATTGCAGGCAAGAATATACAGATTCAGACTTCAATGGAAAGAGACACAAAAGAGCATCCATCTTTCATCAACAGAAGATCTGTGCAAAGATATCAGGCACATGCAATTAATGGTTCCAGGGCTAGTACAGGCTGCCATTTCTGCATCTGAAAGAAAAATGCATACATGTCCCCACTTTCTTGGGTTCTGCATCAAAGAAAACAACCAGATCCTGCAATTAGGGAGTCCAGATTCCACACTCAATTTGGCATAATGGGCAAGTGTGGCAAGTTGGATGCCTCTGAAGATACTTCTCAACCAGTTTGGTGTGGCCATTCCAAGCTGCAGCAACTTGGATGTGTCTGAAGATATCATTGCCCCATTCCGTGCATCCAAAACAACACATTTTCAAACTGTCACACCAAAATGGGCAAAGTCACATCAAATTGGCACCCAAGTCACTGCAGTTTGGACCTGCCACACCAAGCTGGACAAAGTTTCAGTCTGCCATCTTGATTCAAAATGGCATTCCAAAGGTAGCTGAAAACCAGCTAGCTCCTCCACCTCAGGAGCCCTCATGCCAAAGGGAACAACATATCAAAAGGCACCCAAATCCATAGAGAACAGGCAGACAAACCACTTTCCCAAATGCATGTATGCTAAGATCATGAGATTAAAATATTCTTCATCTTCGGTTTAGAACAGGAAAATGTAAGTAGAAATACAGACAAATGAATGTTAATCTCCAGGTAGAAGAATGATATTATGCTTTTCTGTACGTAATTAGTTTTAATAATAACAACCAATAAATTGCTAACACTTGCATCAAAGTTCAAGGGAGCTGTAAAAAGCCATTGTCAGTTGGTGTAGTGATAATTAGGAAAATTTTATGGGATTGGTTAAAATTGGAAATGTCATCTGTCTCGGGATAAATTGTATGTAGTAAAATAATAATTGTCACATTATTAAAATCCAAGTTGTAACACTAGCCTTGGGTGTGTGTGTGTTACATTTTGGGTTTGTGTATGATTGTCATTTTTAAGAGCCTACATGAGAAACATGGGTAAAATAATTTGATTTGTAATTAGTTAGTATGGAATTATGTCATGCTAATTGTTGCTCCATCAACTGGCAATGGGTTTTTACAGCTCCCTTGAATGTTAATGGGCTAAGTGAGCAGATAGTTTGCAGGAGAGCTGTGAATACTCTAACAAAAGACTGATTGTGCGAAAAAAATGATTGTGCGATCAATCTATCAAATGCTGACAAAAACATAACATAGTTGCTGATTATCCTTCAGTTGAGTCTGGCTTCTTGTATTCCCCATTGTTCTGGTCATATATTTTCTAGATTTGAGGGCACTTCAGTTTAATGGTAGATGCAGAAGATCTAAGGGCCATTTTCCAGTTTCTCCAGAAAACAGAACTGGGGGAACTTTCTGCTGGAGACCTTGAAAAGCCTCTATCAACTGGAATAGGCTGAAGAAATTTGGTGAAAGGCAACTTTTTATGGACAGTTCTCTTCACAAGGGTGGCCCCACAGCCCAAGGGTCTAGCAAATGCAGAAGGTCTAACCAGCTTCAATTTTCTAGAGAACATTTTCTCAGAGAGCAGGGCTAGGAAAGACCTTGTCTAAGACTTTCAGATCTGGGTGGGAAACCTGCAGATCTTGTTGGACTATAATTCCCGTCATCTCATGCTGGCTGGGGCTGATGCGAGCAGTCAAGAAACAATTCTGGGCCAGATGGATCAGTGTTTCTGTTCAGTATACAAGACAGCTTCATATGTTTATAATAATCTGCCCTTACATTTTAGAATGCTTGGAAAATATTTTGTCGCTTTAAATTTATTCATATGAGGGTATCCTCATGTACAAAATATACTACTCCCCATGTAAAGCTCACACATGTATTATCATCACCCCTAGTTTGACACTAAGAAAGCCTGAACCATTGCTATGATTTACTTATTTTATTCAGACTATTTATATACCGCTTAATTAGAATTGTCTCTGAGCAGTGTACAAGACATGCAATACAATGGAAATTTAAACATTTGTTTAAAACTATAAAAATCAGGATTCAATTAAAATGCCTGCTGGAGAAAAATAAAAAAATAAAAAACCCTTCAGTAGGTGCTGGAAATTTAATAGGGAGGCAGCTTCTGTAGCAAACTCCCTCAATAAATGGGAGCTAGGCAACATGACCTGCTTTTGGTTCAACCAAAGTTTAGGGCTCCAGGAGACAAAAACAGACACAAGCAGGGTTTTCAGCACCCTGGATAGAGCCCAAGGAAGAATGTACTGTACTTCTGACAATACAGTTCTGAACGCAACACTTTGGGTGTATACCAGCCATTTCAGGTTCTTCTCTCTTGCTGAGAAGTGCAGAACCCTAAAAGGGCAGCCCCCTGGTCTGGAGTCCAGAACTCCATAGCATCTCCATAACTTCTTGTGAACCAAATTGCCTGTGCTGGTGAGCAAGCCCAAAGAAGCACAAGGTCTTAAGGGGTGAGAAGGCTGAACTCCCAGTGGGATAGATGAAGGACTGCTAGATGCAGTCTTGGAGAGTCTGGACCCAGGGGCCTTTGCTGTTGTGCTCAGGTTCAGTATTGAGGCTTGAAACAGGGCCGCTGGGTAGAGCATCTGCTTTGCAGGAATGAAGTCTTAGGTTGTCCCTGGTGTCTCTTGGTAGGGATGGGGGAAATTTCCTGCCAGGAGAGCTGCTGCCAGTCTGAGCAAGCAATACTGAACTAAATGGACCTGTGGTTTGGCCCAGTATAATGTACTTATGTTCCTAAGTGGGAATAAATATGTGTGGTGTGTTTTTTAAGGAGAAAGGCTGCAGCACAGCACAAATTTTGAATGCAAAAGCCCCCAGATTCAATTCTGGCATCTCCAGAGCCAGTGTGGTGTAGTGGTTAAGACTCGTAATCTGGTGAACCGGGTTCGATTCCCTGCTCCTCCACGTGCAGCTGCTGGGTGACCTTGGGCTAGTCACACTTCTTTGAAGTCTCTCAACCTCACTCACCTCACAGGGTGTTTGTTGTGGGGGAGGAAGGGAAAGGAGAATGTTAGCCGCTTTGAGACTCCTGAAGGGGAGTGATAAAGCGGGATATCAAATCCAAACTCTTCTTCTTCTCCAAGCAGGGCTAGGAATATCTCCTTGTCTGAAATCCTGAAGAGTTGCTGACGAATTCACTATCGGCCACAGTAACATGCAACAGGATACCATAATGAGAAAGCTATAACAGGGTTATAGTGTTCAATCGCATAAGGGAAAACAACCCTTCCTCATTGCACAAGGCTATATTGCTTGGGTACTTTGCACTGCTTATCCTTACCTGATTTTATGTAAATAGCAATTCCACGTTCAATTTCACAATGTACTGAGCAACTAAAACCCTTTGATTAACCTCTCAGCATCTACAGCCTGAGTGCTTCCCAGGAGGTTTGGCAGAGTATAAAATATCTGCCTCTCTTGTCTCCTCCCACCACTGTAACACTATTTCATTTCAAAAGGAGGCACGGTTTTACTTCCATTAAACATAATGGCCTGAGATTGCTATGAATGTTCCTTTCAGTTACTTATGTACTATTGCCTGTGTGTAGGGAAACCCTGTGCCTAAAAGCCTCCATTCTCTGCATTGCACTCGCTGATGGAGCTATTAAGAGGGAACGGTATTTTAGAGATATGTAGGGAGGGGGGAGATTGACCCACTGCTTATCAATTCAGCCTACACTCTTCTGCCCAGGATTATGATATGGCTTCCATATTGAATTCCTAGGGCAATTACAAAGGCATGTAAGCAGGTCTCCCTCTCATTCTGCAAATGAGTTTAGACATTAGAGGGGGAAATGCACTTAAAAGACCTTTTGAAGATAATACATAATAACAGAGGGAATGTTGTTAATTAGCAAAATAATGCATCACAGCAATTATGGGGAGTGAAGGTACAGCTCCATAAACAATAGGAGCTAATTTTGTACAATGGTTTTTGAGGATAAAATATTCACAAGGCAACTTTTATCTATTTTTTGCGTGCGGTAACTTGATGCCTAGGGACACGGGTGGCGCTGTGGGTTAAACCACAGAGCCTAGGACTTGCCGATCAGAAGGTCGGCGGTTCGAATCCCCGTGATGGGGTGAGCTCCCGTTGCTCGGTCCCTGCTCCTGCCAACCTAGCAGTTCGAAAGCACGTCAAAGTGCAAGTAGATAAACTTTCTGTGCGGCTTAGTCATGCTGGCCACATGACCCGGAAGCTGTACGCCGGCACCCTCGGCCAATAAAGCGAGATGAGCGCCGCAACCCCAGAGTCGGTCACGACTGGACCTAATGGTCAGGGGTCCCTTTACCTAACATGATGCATTGAAAGCCTGGCCATTCAATAATATCACCAGTTGATCGTATCCAGAAAACAGCAAGTATATTAGTGTTCTTCAGAGCATGTCCTTTCACAAGACCACATCATATGTTACCCTCTCATTTTCTTCCAATATGCAACCATATTTTTCAACGGTGATTCTGAATGAAGTGTAAAGCCTTCCCATTTCCCAGCAGAAATGTTTCACCATAAGAATGTCTAGGAACATAGGAAGTTGCTTATACTGAACCACACCAATGATCCATCTGGCCCAGTATTGTCTACACAGGCTACCACCAGCTGCTGCTCTCCAAGGATTCAGACAAGGAGTCTTGCCCAGCCCCATCAGGAATGCTGGGATTGAACCTGAGACCTTCTGCATGCAAAGCAGATGCTCTACCACTGAACTATGGTCCTTCCCAAATCTAGGTAGCAACCATGAGCGAATGAGCATGAGAGAGATGCAGAAGAGAGCATCTCAAAGAGCTTACAAAGAATTTTGGCTTAGACTTTGATGAAGAACCTCCTAGGGGTAGGGAGATATTGCTAGACTGCAAATCCCACCATCCCTGGTCAGCTGGGGCTGATGGGAGTTGGAGTCCAACAACATCTAGAGAGCAACTAGTTCTCCATCTCTCAGATCAACGGTCTGCTTGACTATAAGGCTGCCTCTTGTGTTTGTGTGTATCTGCCTTTAGGCAATAGCTTAAGGACTTGCTTCATTCCTGAAACTCAAGGCCTGATTGGTGCATCCTTGCCCACATCCATGTTCTTTCTGGAATCAGCTGACCATATATTTTTCAAAATCTACGTATGAAACACATCTGTGGGGTCTAGGAAGTCAAGATTATTGTTAGTACTTTTGTTCCAGGTGCCATTTTAATTTAAGCATGGCCTAGCCTTGCCTTTAACTTAAGTTTTCAATTTGCTATTGCCAGTTCTCCTCCTTAACTGATTATATGGCATGTCCCCTTTCCCTTATTGACATTTTGCAATTGGGTTCAGTAAAAATGTTACGGTGGTTGCTGCTGAAAAATACTTTGGTGCGGGCAAGACTCTCTTGAGCTCCTCTAATGTCTTTAATTGGCTCCCTTAAGTGGGTTGGCAGAATCACATAGTAATTCTCTAGACCAGCTGCAAGGGAAGTACAGAACTGATGAGACTTTACCATACAATTTGGCAGTAAGGGTCAAACTAGATGTGATTTTATCCATACCTTTAGTTCAAGCGCCCTTTTTTATTTTTAAGTCATAATGTGGAGAGTGAGATTTGTTGTTCTGGAGAGACTTACCATGCTGAGACTATGAGTTTGCTTTATATACTTCATAACCATATATGCGCAAACAGCTACAACACAACTAAGGCTTTTGTATTTAGGAGATGGAATAAAACCAAAAGCTGCTGCTAGCAAACTCTCAAAAGCTCAAGTGTTTATCAGTTAATCATCTGGGCAATTTTACAGGTTGCCATTAACTTTCCCAAGCACATGGGAGGTGGTTCATCAAGTTCAGCTCATTACCTGTTCAAAAGCTTTCCTTAAAGCAGCAATTTAAAGCACTTTTATTTACCCTGGTTTTCAAAACCTAAGCAGTTGGTTTCCCATGTGAGATGAGTGTTCCCAAAGGCAGAGTCCATTGCTGCCATCAAGTATCTTCTCCTATGTGATTCAATTCACATTTCAAGGAGAACTGAACAAATTTGCACTTTGCAAAACAATATGCAAACTCCAACAGTCACCTGTTGAAATTTGCACTTCTATAGGTTTTGCAATGTACGGTAGTTCTCCAACCCAGTAATGTGTCCAAAAATGCAAATACAGTCATACCTTGGTACTTGTATGTTTCGGCTCCCAAACAATCAAAACCTGGAAGTGAGTGTTCCGGTTTTTGAACGTTTTTTTGGAAGCCAAATGTCTGATGTGGCTCCTGCTATTGTTTCCAGTGTGCCTGCACAACTGGAAGCCAATCGGAGGCCACGCCTTGGTTTCTGAACGTTTCGGAAGTCAAATGGACTTCCGGAACACATTCTGTTCGACTATACTAGGATACGACTGTACAGTGGTACCTCAGGTTACATACGCTTCAGGTTACAGACTCCGCTAACCCAGAAATATTACCTCGGGTTAAGAACTTTGCTTCAGGATGAGAACAGAAATCATGCGGCGGCAGCGGGAGGCCCCATTAGCTAAAGTGGTGCTTCAGGTTAAGAACAGTTTCAGGTTATGAACGGACCTCTGGAACGAATTAAGTACTTAACCCGCGGTACCACTGTACTAGGATAAAGTGTGCATTAAAAATGGATATTTCTAGAGTCTGGATTTCCTGGCTTGAGCAAAGGAGGGGGTTGGACTCAGCGGTCTACAAGCCTCTTCTATTTATTATCTATTGCTACACTCATAGAGATACAAATTTATTCAGTCAAAACAGAGGGGAGGCACATCCTTTGCAGCTGCAGGATAGCCCATGTAATGTTGCCTCTCGGCAGCTCTCCCTACCCTTTCCATGATCAGTGAGATCTCAGAGATGAGGTATGTGCTTCTGGGCATCAGTCATCGTAATTTAATACCTCTTTTTAAAAATCTAGATATGTCTTAAGAAAATGTGCTTTTTTATTAATATTAAGCCATATTGTTGCATCCATCCATCTATCTATGTCTCTCCTAGTGAAAAGGTCCTGTGCTGCTTCAATGGCCCACCCATCTCTGCCAGTACCTTGGATCCTGAATGCCTTGCAAGTCGAACGTTTTGGCTCCCGAAAGCCAAAGTGAGTGTTCCGGTTTGCGAATGTTTTTTGGAACCTGAACGTCCGACACGACTTCCACAGCTTCCTATTGGCTGCAGGAGCTTCCTGGACATTATTTCAAATTAAAAATGGCTCTGGTGATGTAAGGTTGGGGTGTTAAATTGAGACACCAAATTAATTTTACCTTTGACCCTCTTCTGCTTCTGCTTCTTTGGCCATCACTCATAGCCGAGTAAGATTGTCTTCCATAAACACGGTTTTAACAATGAGTCCATAAGTGACTGTGGAGGCCAGTTCTGGATCCACACATCCTTCCACAGTGGGGACATAGCTTTCTGGGCAAGAGTTGATCATGGTGAAGGTTTGCCAAGTGTGCCTTCCTCCTAGCACATTTCTCCCTTGTGTCCTGAGTTCGAGTGTCTTCAAAGCCCACAGCACCTTTGGTAAAGCCTGTTCTCCAACTGGAGCACTCGCAGGCCAGTGTTTCCCAGTTGTCAGTGTTTATACTACATTTTTTAAGATTTGCCTTGAGACAGTCTTTAAATCTCTCTTGTTGACCACCAGCATTACGCTTTCCATTTTTAAGTTCGGAATAGAGTAGTTGCTTTGGAAGACGATCATCAGGTATCGGCACAACATGACCAGTCCAACAAAGTTGATGTTGAAGAATCATTGCTTTGACACTGGTGATCTTTGCTTCTTCCAGTACACTGATATTAGTTTGCCGAACTTTGACCCTAAGACAAGGTTGGAAACTAGGCCTCCCTCTGTAGAAACTGCATCAAAGCAACTTAATTAAGTCTGACATTCAGAATCAAAGGGCGTTTGAAAACTGTGTATCAATATACTGGTAGTGCTTGGTAAACACTCTGCTATCTCTTCAATTAATTACAAAGGAAGAGGTAAACATGTGCATGCAGACACAAAGAGAGAGATTATTTTTTGTTCAGAAACAACACCACTTTTTATGATGGAATGTTATGTCAAGTTTTCAAATTGAATCGACTTGCTCTGTGGGTTGAGAAAAGTGTTGCATGCAGCAACATTGTTGTGAAGTACCAACACTTTATATTGTTTCACTGGTGACGTAAGAGGGAAAATGGCTATTACTCATACTTAATCTAAGCACGAGCACCAGGGCTCCTGATTAGGCGTTTAGCTATGCAATGTTGAATGTTATCTGTTAACTCTGTTCTATCCTGTTTCCCCTTTGCTTTTGTTTAAACCAATTCACGAATCAAGAACTTACACATTGACCGCTAATAAGGAACCATATGTTGTAGATACCACTGCAAATTTATTACCCTATTTTTGCGATATGCAAATGACATGAGAAGACTTGGTCTATTTATTTGTATCGTTTATTACTCCTTGTTTATAAAAGCCAAAAAAATTTTTTTTAAGGGTGATGAAGTAAAAAAAAACCTGCTCTTTGCCCCTGATGTTTGCCTTCAGCCCAGAATCTTCTAATCGTCAAGTCTTCCATCAACTCAGAGCTGTACTGTGCCACTTTTTCTCCTGTGAACTTTCTCTGTGCCAAAAGAGGGTGGTGAAGAAGTAAAACAACCTCGACAAATAAAAAATATTTCCCCCCTCTACCTAGCCACTCCCTGTCCTCTGTCCCTTCCTTCACGTTGCCTTCATTCTGGATGGGAGGTGCATGTTAAGGAAGGAGACTGTGGGCACTATTGTGTCTGTTGTCAATGGCACCTGGATGGCTACCTCCCACCTAGACCAGTTACTTCCTTGGTTGTGTCTCCACCTCCTCCACCTTCTCTGCCCCACTACACCCACTATCATCTGTGAGGGGAAGGGCAAGCAGAATTGGTACCATGGCACATGTGGTGGCATCAACCCTTCTCTTCCACCCTCGTCATGCCATGGTCTTGCTGGGGAAAAAACCCTCGAATCTGCTAGTAGCCTGAGTGTAGTGGTGCAATTAGGTAATTTTGGACTCTGGACTTAATGATCCTGTGGAACTGGGTGACTCTTTAAATGGTTATGTATATTATTTCACTTAGTTCAAAATATGGCAAGGCAGACTTGCTGTGGTTGGGGACCCTGTGGCTCATTTTGCTGAGTGAGATCCTGGGCTTCTGCCCCCCAAAGTTCTGCCCTAACAGCAGCACTACCTAGAAAATAAGGGTTTTTATCATCATCATGTTTATTTGTATGCCACTTTCCCACAAAATTGTGCCCAAAGTGGTTTACAATATAGTAGGTGAACAATTAAATAATACAATTAGATACATATATTTATGCTGTGGTCCATCCTGAGATTTTTGGATGAAGGGTTGTATACAACTTATATATGTGTGTGTGAAACTATTAGAAATAATAATATTAATAAGTAAATACAAGCAACCCAATTCGTACAAGTTTGTATAAAACAATACAACTAAACCAATCTAATTTAGCAGCTTTAAACTAAACAGGAAAGAGAATAATGCCTAACAGAGAAATAAGAAATTAGTATACGAAGCACCCACACACTCCAAATGATGCATCAATTTCCAATAGTTTGGATCAAGACACAGTCTTCAAACATCCAGGGGCCTTACTCCACCTCTCCCTTGGGGTACTGCGGACGCTCCCAGTGTGGTTCTCACCCAGAAGGGCTTTATGTTTTCATTGTCTCCCTTTAGTTAAAGGCTCTCTATACCCCAAATATTATTTTCCATGACTAGAGTGAACTGTCTGCATCTTAACCAGTTCTACCATATTGAACATTATTCCTCCTTGGATGGCAAAGAAGGATCCAAAGCACTTTGCTTAACAAATTACAGTAAATCTTTGGCTCTAGCTTCATGTACCTAGAACTCCTTCATAAGCAGTTCCAGAAAATTTCTTACCTTTGTGCGAACAGTGGCAGAAGTGTCACCCATGAGCATGGCATTTCACCAGCAGCTGCTAAAACAGGTGTAGAGAGGATTTGTGGCTAAGGGAGGTGATGTCTGATTTGAGTAATTAAGTCAATTCATTTTGCATTATCAACAGTAAACATCATTACACCAGTTATGTCAACCCCGCTACCTCGTGATAGTGCTGCAATCAGAGGCTGATTGAAACTAAAGACGTAGTTATTCAATAATGGATGTGAATGTAGCAATATACACATGCAACATTAACTTAATTTATAATGCTTTGGGATGTGGTAAAACAGCATTCATTGCCTCCTATCCCTGTGGCAGGAAGAACATTGATGGTGGTGCATGAATTGGCCTCAGTGTAACTGTGTGCATGATCTGGGCGTTATAGCACAATCCTTATAGAAAGTTTAATTCTAAGTTCAGAGCAGAGCGCACATGTTTCCAAGGCAGTCTCCCATCCAAAAAAGGACTAGGCCCAAACTTCCTGCAGAGACTCAGGCACTAAACTACATCAAGTGGCTTCAGATAATATCTTTGGCTTGAATCAAGTAATTAAGGTTGCAATCCTAAAGTGGTGGGGAAGGAAGAGCAAAGGCAGACAAATCACCTCATCCAATGCCTTTGTGCTCCTCTGCCCTTTTCTGGGCTTTTCTTTAACCATTTCTCTCCCATTACAAATGATGAGAGGGAAATTCTCTCTGCCAGCTCTGGAGCTGGTGCAGCTATCTCCCTGGTTGCAGGGAGTGCTTTGGAGGCTACAGGCCCTGTGGATTCATGCTCCGCTCCAGTCCACACTTTCCGCATTCCTGATCCATCCCAGGCCTACTGCACCAGAGCTCTGATGTTGCTAGAGCAAGGGCTACAGAGCTTTCTGCAGCCGCGGAGAGGAGGGATCAGGCATCAGATTGGGCCTGAGATTGGCTCTGGCTCCACCTTCTGTTGGCCTTGCAGCCTTCCACCCTCCCAGTCCCAATAGGCACCAGTCACCACTGGTTTCTACAGTAGTAGAGAGGAGAAATCCAACATCAGATCAACCTCTCTGGATTGGACAACACAGAGGCCAGAGGGAGACCTGGGTCACCAGCCCAGGGACCAGAGGATGGCAAAGCCATAAAACCTTCTCTCTTCTCAGCGAATTGTTATGTTCTTGACGCCCTATAGCCCAAACTCTTCATAATAGACATTGTTACTTTGTTCACATAAAAGCTCTCTAGAACAAGAAATGACTCTTACTCATTCGCTTGCAGTACAAAATAATTCCTAATTGCAACTTTGCTTTTCATCTGGAAGAAAAACAAACATCATGAGCTATCAGTAGTAATTAAATGAAGATCGCGTCACACGCTCTATTAGCTGTAATATTCCTGCACGAGTCAATATAAAGTTTTAGAGGCACTTTCACAATTGTTTCTCCCCAGGGATATCTCACTCGGTTACATCTCTTGTCCCCTGAGAACTGCTTGCGTGTTTGTCTGTGCAGCTTTCTGATTAACTTTTTATCCTGCTGAATTTGGCAATAGAACAGCATTTGGGTATGAATTTTAATTTGGTAGCATACTGCAAGCTCGTCTTAGTTAGGGCATGCAAACCCCTTTTGCAAAGCCACTTCCGGAGTGGCGCCATCGGCAATGGCGGACTCCCTCTGAACTGGAGGGACTAGCTCCGCGCGAAACGGGTCTTTTCCGCTATGGCGAAGCGGGGACCCTTTTAAAAATCACAGGCGGATGAAGCCTGTGACCATGGGACTCGGCGGGCACCCTTAACGCCCCCCCAACCCGCAAAGGAACCCACTAACGGGCTCCGAAGCGAAGAGGGGGAAGTGGCGCAGTGCTGTGAGTCAACTGCTATTTCCGTGGAGCGAAGCCGCATAGCCGTTGCCGGAGAGCGCTGCCTTTTTTCCTGGGACAATTTGGCTTCTAAAATAAGCACCCGTGAGTACTTAAACTTTGAACAAATTGGACTTTAAATAAGGATTTGCGAGCAGAAAGGAATTGGATTTAAAAATTTACTTCAATTTGGTACTGAAACGGGAAGGTCTAAACAGGAAGTCAGCCTTCCGTTTCTTTGTAGACAGAATAAAGCAAAGACAACGTAAACTAAAGCTCAGAAAATCACTTCTAAAGGATCGGCTTTCATCATTTAAAATCCTCGAACCCCCCTTCGGCAGCAGGAGAAGAAGGGGGATCTTTTTTGGACTGTTTAAACCTGCAGAAGTGAGGTTAAAGTAAAGTAACTTTCCACCGTCCTGATCCTGGAGCGGGGTGTCAGGACTGACGTTTGAAGCTCATTGACCAGAAACAAACGTTTTTGACAGATAGCTAAAAGAAGAGAAACATAGTGATTCCACTGTTTCCTTTCGCATTTTAAAGGGACAAATATTGACAAAATATCTCAAAAAAGAAACTTTGTTGCAAGAACAATTCGACGTTTTCCCCCTAGAGGGAGACTGGGAAACTGTAACTAATTACAGGGAGCTTGCAGCTGTCACAGATTACAATCGTGGGAAAAGGCTTGTGACCTTGTAGGACAATGTATTCAGAAGCTCTGTTGTGTGCTCTCTGTAAAATAAATGCTCTACTGGAACAGTTAACTGAGAAGACGGATTTGATGACTAATGCGGTCAGAATTTTTGAACAGGCAGTGGGAAACTATATGGAGCCCACCCAGGAATTAAATCAGGAGTGTGCCCTGACAGAACAGATGAGAGAAGAGGATGTTGCGGAATCTTGGGCGCCAGAGATGGAGGGAGCTGCGGCCCAGCAGGAACATGAGCTTTTGGATTTGACAAATGAACTTGGAAAAAGCCAGATTAGGAAAGATAAAGTTTGGAAGACTTCCGGAGGTGGCGCCAGCGGTCGATGGCGGATTTCCTCGGCTAGAGGGAATCAGCGCCACGAAAAAAGGGGTCGGATCCCGCTTCGGCGCAGCGGGGGACCCTCAAAAATCACAGGCGGGGGAAGCCTGTGAGCCTGGGACCCAGCGGGCACATTTGGCGCCCCCCCAACCCGGTAAAAAGCCCAGCAACGGGCTCGAAATCGGAGCGGGGGAGAGCGCTGTGCTGTGGGCTGTCTGCTCGTTCGTGGTGTGAAGCCGCAAGCTGTTGACCGGAGAGCGCTGCCTTTCTTCCTTGAAATCCGGACCTGAAAATCAACGATCCGTGAGTAGGATATAGTCTAATTGGAACTGTACAAACTGGAATCTGGCCGAAAACGGAAAGAGGTTTAAAGGAAGTCAGCCTCTTTCCTTGTAGATAAAATAAAGCATTGAACTTGAAAGCGGAAGCATTTGAAAAGCACGTTTTAGCGGACTTTAATCCAATCATCCAACCTGGACTTTTCCATCTTTAAATTGAGGGAAAAGGGGGGAGAATTGTGGATGTGATTTCTTCATAAAGAAGTGGAAAAGAAGGGATTAAACCATCACTCAATTCCCTGGGAAAGGATCTCCAGAGGTAACTTAGGAAAGAAAGAGAGGTACTGTCTTGCAATATATTTTGACAGCTAGTCCTGCACAGGAAATAAAAGTTTGGACAAATTATGTGAATATATATCTCCTGGTCCTAAGTTAAAAATTGTGAATAGACTGTTTTCTTCCTGAATAAACTAGAGGGGCTTAAAAAAGAAACTAAAGTATCCAAGAACTTTTATGACTGTTACAGTGTCCCCCTAGTGGAATTTGGAACTGTTACAACTTGTTATAATTGAAACTGTAGCGGGCTTGAGGAGTTCTCACACTGCTTGGTAGGAAATTTCCACTGTTTAATTTCAACTACGTGACTGACCTTGAGCATTATCTAAGGAATGGCAGATGGTAAAGAGAAGGCGGATGCATCGACTACAAGATCGGGGAGGACTATTCACACAGAAGAAGGATTACAAAGGAGATCTTCGGCCTCAGGCCCTTCTGGAACCTCAACAACAGCCTCATCGGCACAATTAAAGGTAAAAAGTACGGCAAGTGATGACGCCTTTGCTCAAGTTTTGGCCAAAGTTAATGAATCTTTAAATAGAATAAGCCAACAAGTAGCAGAGGCATGCGACAAGATTGATCAAAATACTGCAAGTATAAATAACCTGGGCCAAAAAGGAAATACTAACACAGAGACTATTCAGAAATTATTAGAGGAATCGGCCTCAACACGCCAGATTGCTGAAGAGGCTAAAGAAATTGCTACAACTTCTGCTACTGAAGTTAAAGAGGTTCAAGAGGAATTACCAACACTGCATAAACAATTGGAAGACCATAAATTAACCCTGTCTATGATAGATTTGAAGGAAAAGCAAGTGAATTTGCGGGTCAGATCGGTACCTGAGGTGGAAAAGGACAATCTAGCTGAATTTCTCACGCAGGAATTTTTGGACTTTTGGGATCCAGAACTGGCAAAAGACAGTTTCAGAATAGTAAATGCTTTCAGACTTGGGAGAAGAGGAGAGAAGAAGGTGAGAGACTGTCTGATTACTTTTCGAACAAAAGAAGAGAGGGATAAGATTTTGGGCCTACATTTCAAGAAGACACTGGAAATCCATCGGACAAGGGTGGAAATATTCAAAGATATTCCGAAATACCTTCTGGATCTCAGATCAAAATACAAAGACTTGGTTACCCTGCTGAGAAGGAACAATATCAACTTTAGGTGGGAACTCTCTCAAGGCCTGTCTTTTAGCTACAAAGGAAAGAAGAGGAAAATAAGATCGGAAGACGACAAAGACAAATTTTGCAGAGACCACGGAGAAGACCTACAAAAAGAACTATTTCCGGAACCAAAAGACCGTTCGAAAGAAGGGATACCACCGACGGATGAGGAACAGGCACTAGGTGCAGTAGGAGGAGAACTAAAACAATAACATCATGGCCCTGCAACTTTTAACATGGAACTGTCGGGGTTTGAATTCCCCTCAGAAAAGGAAGTCAGTATTCCATATATTAAAAAAGGAACAATTGGACCTAATTTGTTTACAAGAAACACATATAACAAGATTACACAGGAAATTGTTGATAAATAAAAGACTTGGTCAGGAATTTATTTCGTCAGATAAAGTTAAAAAGAGAGGGGTTGTGATCTACGCAAAAGACAATTTATCACCAAAATTTGTTTTTAAAGATGACCAAGGAAGATTTGTGGCAATTGAAATTCAAACACAAGGAGAAAAATTTTTGATTGTAGGAGTTTACACACCAAATGACGGGAAATCTGATTTTTTTAAGAAGTTGCATGAGACCCTGATGGACCATATGGATCACAACATGATTCTGATGGGAGATATGAATGGAGTGGTATCTACTTATATGGACAAGGCACAAAGACAGGTAGTCACCAAAGATGGTAGACTACCGAAAACCTTTTTTGATATGACAGACAACTTGGATTTAGTGGACATTTGGAGAATTAGAAACCCCTTGGCTAAAGAGGGAACTTTCTTTTCTGAAGCCAAAATGACTTGGACAAGAATTGACCAAATTTGGATAACTAGAGGAATGGCACCAAAGACAAGAAAGGTGGAAATCTGCCCGAAAATTTGCTCCGACCACAATGCTGTTAAGATGGAAATGAGACTAACACCAACTGGCTCCTTCAGATGGAAGATGAATGACACCTTATTTAGAGATGAAGAATTTCTTAAGAAGGCCCAAAAAACTCTAAGAGATTACTTCGAGATAAATCTTAGTTCCAACGTGGAGAAAAGAGTAATCTGGGATGCAAGTAAAGCGGTTATGAGAGGGTTCTTAATACAACAGAATGCGATAAAGAAAAGAACTCAAAATGAGAAGAAGGATAAAATTATGAACAAAATAAATGAATGTGAAAAAGACTGAGAGTAAATCCCAAATCTCAAGAGATTCTGAGAGAGTTAAAGTTATATCAAGTACAATATATGAAAATAATGAATCAGGAAATAGAATGGAAAATTAAACAAATGAGACAAAAGACTTTTGAATCGGCCAATAAATGTGGCAAATTGTTGGCATGGCAAATGAAAAAGAGACAAAAACTAAATACGATTACGAATTTAGAAGTGGAAGGAAGGAATATACAGAACCCTGCGGAGATTAGAAGTTGTTTCCAGAAGTATTTTAAAAGACTATATACTCAAGGGCCAGTGAAAGAAACAGATTTAGACCAATTTTTGAAAACAAATGGACTACAAAAATATCTCCAGAAACTAGCCTAATTTTGAATGACAGAATAACTGAACAGGAAATAGAAGGTGCCATTCAAAACATGCAACTGGGTAAATCTCCAGGACCAGATGGCTTGACCTCTAGATACTACAGATCTTTAAAAGAATGGTTAATTCAACCATTGAAAGAGGTCTGCAACGAAATAATGGAGGGGAAGAGGGCACCAGAGTCGTGGAAAGAAGCATATATTACACTTGTACCAAAAACAGAGACTGAAAAGACACAACTTAAGAACTACCGCCCTATATCATTACTTAATGTGGATTACAAAATTTTTGCAGATATTTTGGCGAAGAGATTTAAAAAGTGTTGATGGAAGAGATTCACAAAGACCAAGCGGGCTTTCTCCCAGGAAGACATTTGTCTGACAATTTGAGGAATATAATTGATATCTTGGAAAAATTAGAAGTGAATATAAACACTAAAGCAGTGTTGATATTTGTAGACGCGGAGAAAGCCTTTGACAATATTTCTTGGAATTTTATGAAGAAGAATCTACAGGGTATGGGGGTAGGCCAAGGTTTTGAGAATGGTATAAGTGCAATTTATTCAGAACAAAAGGCTAAACTAATTGTAAATAATGTTGTGACGGAAGAACTTAAAATTGAAAAAGGGACACGACAAGGTTGCCCAATTTCCCCACTTCTTTTTATTTCGGTCCTGGAGGTTCTGCTGAATATGATTAGAAGGGACCAGATGGTTAAAGGTATACAGGTCGGAACTAAACACTATAAATTGAGAGCATTTGCAGATGACTTAGTATTGACGTTACAGGAGCCAGAATCTAGTACTAAAAGGGTTTTAGAACTGATTCAAGAATTTGGTCAAGTGGCAGGATTTAAATTGAACAAGTCAAAAACCAAGGTTCTAGAGAAAATTTAACACCGTTTGAAAAAGAGAGGTTTCAGAATGAGACAGGTTTAACAGTGGTTAAGAAAGTTAAATACCTGGGGATTAACATGACAGCAAAAATGGGAATTTATTTAAAGATAACTATGAAAAATGTTGGTCTGAAGTGAAAAAAGATTTAGAAATTTGGTCAAATTTGAAGCTTTCACTGCTAGGCCGTATTGCTGCAATAAAAATGAATGTATTGCCTAGAATGTTGTTTTTGTTTCAAACTTTGCAGATCGTGGACAAAATGGATTGTTTCAAGAGGTGGCAGAAAGATATTTCTAAATTTGTCTGGCAGGGCAAGAAACCCAGAATAAAATTTAAAATACTAACGGATGCAAAGGAAAGAGGTGGATTTGCCCTGCCAGACCTCAAACTTTACTATGAATCAGCAGCTTTTTGCTGGTTGAAAGAATGGCTACTTCTTGAAAACACTGACATTTTGGACCTAGAAGGTTTTAACAATGTATTTGGATGGCATGCATATTTATGGTATGATAAGGTCAAAGCACATAAAGCATTTAAAAACCACATTGTCAGGAAAGCGCTGTTTAATGTTTGGATAAGATATAAGGATTTGTTAGAAAACAAAACCCCAAGGTGGCTGTCACCAATGGAAGCGAAATAATAATAATAATAATAAATTTTATTTATATCCCGCCCTCCCCAGCCGAAGCCGGGCTCAGGGCGGCTAACAACAATAAAACAGTACAAAAGTACAGGCCTTGAAAAAGGTCAATATGGAGGTCAAATGGCCGAAATATTGGGAAATTTTGGAACAAGACGGAGATAGACTGAAATTGCAGAGTTTTGAAAAACTAAAAAACAAAGTGCGAGACTGGCTTCATTATTATCAGATAATGGAGGTATTTAAATTGGACAGGAAAATTGGCTTCCAGGTGGAAAGATCCAAATTAGAAACAGAATTGTTAGAACCCAAGACTAAGAATTTGTCAAGAATGTATAACTTGCTGCTGAAATGGAATACTCAAGATGAAACGGTAAAATCGGCTATGATTAAATGGGCACAGGACGTTGGACATAACATTATGTTTGCTGACTGGGAACAGTTATGGACCACAGGTATGAAATTTACGGCATGTAATGCCTTAAGAGAGAATATTATGAAAATGATATACAGGTGGTACATAACCCCAGTCAAGCTTGCAAAAATCTATCACTTGCCCGATAACAAATGTTGGAAATGTAAAGAAACTGAAGGTACATTTTTTCACCTTTGGTGGACGTGCCCAAAGATTAAGGCTTTCTGGGAAATGATATATAATGAATTAAAGAAGGTATTTAAGTATACCTTCCCTAAGAAACCAGAGGCCTTTCTCCTGGGCGTAGCCGGCCAAATGGTGTTAAAAAAGGATAGAACTTTCTTTATGTATGCAACAACAGCAGCAAGAATACTCATCGCAAAGTATTGGAAGACACAAGAACTTCCCACACTGGAGGAATGGCAGATGAAACTTATGGACTATATGGAATTGGCGGAAATGACTGGTAGAATCCGTGACCAGGGAGAAGAGTCGATGGAGGAAGACTGGAAGAAATTCAAAGACTATCTTCAGAAACATTGCAAAATTAAGGAATGTTAAAGGGATGTTGGACTGAAAGTAAGTGGTTTCCAGCTGCACAGGTTAAAGTTAATGATAGATTAAGATTAAAGATCAAGATTAAAGATGTTTAAAGAAATGGAAATTTGATATTAAAAGGGAAAATTTTAACGTTATATGATATTAAGATCAAGGATTAGGTTTAAAAAAGTTGAAGTTATATATTTTAACATTTTATTAAATTAAAGATTGGGATTAAAAAAGTGGAAAAGAAACTGCTGGACAAATAATGTGGATTGGAATACAAAAGAGGGAGGTATGAGGAAGTCCAGAAAATAAGTAATTTAAAATTGGAAATGGAAAAGAGAGTTTGTTTTTAATTGTTTGCTTTTTGTTTTTTATTGTTGAGTTTTGTATTGTTTTTTGTGTGTGTTGGTTTTTTTTTGTTGTTGTTGTTTAAAACTTTAATAAAAATTATTTAAAAAAAAAAAGGAAAGATAAAGTTTGGACTGATTTGGAAATGGGGGGTTGGATAGACTCCCCTATGCAGGGATGTTTGGACTTTCCGAGTCTGGCAATGGGCCGTGAGATGTTTGGAGCTGTGGGGGCTCTCAATTTTGGAGGGATTCTGAAACATGTTTTTAAATACTACATGGAGTTTAGTCTGGACTATGGAAAAGGGGCTGATTTGTTGAAAAGGGTCAAAAACATTACCAAGCTGGAGTTCCCACGAGTGAAAGGTGAATATGAAGAAGAGCTGCGGAAGGGACATGGAAGGGACTTAAGGGCCTCGGATATAAGGTTACCAGGTTAATGCACTAGATCGATGGGATAAAAAGGACTGACAAAACCCGGGACCAGGAGGAAGGGACGCTGGATGAAGATTGGATTGTTTCTATTTCTTTTTTTTTATTACTAGGATTGTTTTATAAAATTGATGACTGTTAGAAAAATGTTGGAACGAAATTACTTGGCTCTAGCAAAAATGTTTAAAGAATTAGGCAAGAATATTATGGTTATGAGAAGTGGGTAAAAATAAGATTTAAGTTTTAAGGTTTTTTATAAGATAAGATGAAAATAGATTAAGGTAATGCAATGACAGAATATTATGAAATATGGAAAGGATTTGCTGCGATAATTAATAACTGGGATACAAAAAAAGGGAGGAGGAGGAGGTCAAAGAAAGAAGGTAATGAAAGTTGAAGATTTGAGAATGTTGGTTTTATTTTTATATGTTTGTGGTGTATTTTTGTTTTTTGAATTTGTATTGTTGGATGTGGTTTGTTTTCTTTTTCTCTTTTTTGTTTCTTTCTTTTTTCTTTCTCTGCTTTGTCTTTTTCTGTAATTTTAAAAATTTTCAATAAATATCATTTTTTTAAAAAAAAAAAACCCTTTTGCAAAGCCATCAACGCCCACAGCCTCAAGTTCTGGGATGCACTGATTGACAACAGTACACTCTTTAACTTCGACACTCTGAAACAATTAGAGCTGGTGTTTGCAGTTTATGTGTGAGATTGAAATCAGCCCCCCAATATATTATTAAACAGAATGTAGTTGTTGTTGTGCTGCATGCGACAGCCCTGGGAAGATTGGTAAAGTATGGGAAGCTGGAAAATGAACAACAGAGGAAGAAGAAGAAGAAGAAGAAGAAGAAGAAGAAGAAGTTGTTGTTATTACTTATACCCCGCCCATCTGGCTGGGTTTCCCCAGCCACTCTGCGCGGCTTCCAACAGGAGATTAAAAATACATCAAAACATCAGTCATTTTTTAAAAAAACTTCCCTAAACAGGGTTGCCTTCAGATGTCTTCTAAATGTCAGATAATTGTTTATTTCTTTGACATCTGATGGGAGGGTGTTCCACAGGGTGGGAGCCACTACCAAGAAGGCCCTTTGTCTGGTTCCCTGTAACTTTGCTTCTCGCAGTGAGGGAACCACCAGAAGGCCCTTGGCGCTGGACTTCAGTGTCCAGGCCGAATGATGGGGATGGAATGACAACCGGGAGTTGATGTTGCATGAGCTTGGTGGATGAAATCGTTGCCTGAATCCTTGAGCAGAGCAGAGTTTCTGAGCCCTTTAGGGAACAAGGGAAATGCAGGATTGATGACACTAGAAGGGCTGTAGCTTGGTGATGGAGCATTTATTTTGAA